AATCAAAGTTTTATATAGAAATATATAGGAAAAATCTTTGAAAATCTTCTTCTCAAGAACCACTGGGCCAGAAAAGCTGAAACTTATGTGGAAGCATCCTGGTATAATGTAGATTGTAAATTGTTCAAATAATGACCCCCGGGGGAAGGGCGGGGCCACAATGGGTTATCAAAGTTTTACATAGAAATATATAGGGAAAATCTTTGAAAATCTTCTTCTCAAGAACCACTGGGCCAGAAAAGCTGAAACTTATGTGGAAGCATCCTGGTATAATGTAGATTCTAAATTGTTCAAATAATGACCCCCGGGGGAAGGGCGGGGCCAAAATGTGGAATCAAAATTTTATATAGAAATATATAGGAAAAATCTTTAAAAATCTTCTCAAGAAACACTTGGCTAGGAAAAATGAAGCTTATGTGGAAGCATTCTGGGGTAGTGTAAATTCTAAATTGTAGGAATCATGACCCCCGAGGGAAGGGCGGGGCCATTATAGGGAATCAAAGTTTTACATAGAAATATATAGGAAAAATCTTTGAAAATCTTCTTCTCAGGAACCACTGGGCCAAAAAAGCTGAAACATATATGTCCATGGAAGGATCATGGGGTAGTGTAGATTTCAAAATGTCTAAATTATGATCAGTGGGGTAGGGTGGGGATGCATTATGTATAACAAGGGGGAAATCTGGTAAAGAACAGAATGGTCAAAGCTTCTCAGGTGAGCGATGTGGCCCATGGGCCTCTTGTTAAGAAGATTATGAAATTTTTCCTGGACTGTAAGTCTGTTTCGTTTTCTTAGAACTTAATTGTTTAAAGTACAGTTAATTCTCGATAAACCGCCACCTTTTGTAATTTAGAAATCATGGCGGTATAACGAATTTGGCGATGAATTGAATTTTTAAGAAATAAGACGTAGAGTTATCGTTCTTAGAAATACCATTTAGCGTTTCTATTCTTATTATCACGTGTACACGTATATATAAACATATTTCTAAATTTGAAAATACTTCAAGTAATTTTTTATGTACAATTTCGCTAAAACAAAATATTCAGTTATGAAATTAAGACAAGTACATGTGTATGTATGTAAATCTGCACGTCTGATACCGGTATTGAAGAAAAAATGCTGGATCGATCCTCGTGATATATTGCCTATAGTACATAAAATAAGTTCTTGACTAAATTCATTGTTTATGAAATCATTGTTAATGAAACGTTCACAATTTCTGACTTAAAATAATTTTTTAAGCAAACTTTGCATTGTTTTTAAAAGCAGAGATCATCAAAATAATATCGTTATCGGCGTACTTTACAACGACCGCTTTCATGGCGAAGCCTTGACTTAATGATATTATTAAACAGAAAACAAAATTATTCTAACAATTCATTTTAAAATAATTGTTTACTTAATTGCATGTACCTTTACTGGCTTTGCATGCTTTACAACAGGGATAGCGTCAACCAATTAGCCGCGCTTCACTGACCACATACACCTGTGGCGGTATTATCGAGATAATTGACACTTAAAAATGGACGTTTGTTCTGAAAACAGGGTGGCGGATGGCGGTATGCGAATTTGGCGTTATAAAGAGAATTTTATATAGCAGGAAAAACGTTCTTGGGAAATCATGGCGGTATTGCGAAAATGGCGATGAATCGAATGGCGATAATTCGAGAATTGACTGTATAACAAATAGAGAAAATTCAATCGAACAAAGTTGTGTCGTGAAAAATGAGATTATTTAAAGCACAATATCAATATAGCTGGCTAATTTAAATGATGAAGAAACATTAGTAATTCAATATGAGAAAAAATGCTGTCAATGATGATGCAGTGTTTGTTTAATTACAATCATAATTTAATTATAATCTCCCTTCTGCATGTAGACAGTTCATAACAGATTTTTATTATCTTGAAGAATCTAAGTTATCAATTACATAGAGTAGAAAATAGTGATTTTAACCTCTTATGTTCTCCTACTCGGCTCTGATCCCATACTTTCAAAATCAAAACAATAGCATGTTATTAATTATACCAGGTGCTTGTTCAGCAATTGCATCTGCATGCAAAAGTTGTATTATGAGAGTACTGAGTCAGTTTTCTGGTGATCGTTTGTGACAATTATTTTACATTTCTAGTCTTCATGAAAATTCATAAACATTCATTACCTTGACCTATTGTCCCCCACTTGAAAAGTGGGGGGTATTAATTTGGGTCTGTCCGTCCGTCAGTCCGTCCGTCTTTCTGTCTGTCTGTAATGCTTTCGTTTCCACACGATATCTCAAGAACCCTTTGAGCTTTCGCAATGAAATTTTGCATAGCAACTCCCTATGGTCTAAAGAAGAACCCTATTGATTTTGAGGTCAACAGGTCAAAGGTAAGGTCATAAATTCGCAAATGCTGTCTTTTATAACACTTTCGTTTCCGCACAATATCTCGAGAACTCTTTGAGCTTTTGCAATGAAATTTTACATCACAACTCCCTGTTGCCGAGGGAAGACCCCTATTGATTTTGAGGTCAAAAGGTCAAAGTTCAAGGTCGTAAATTTATACATTCTGTCTGTATGAAACACTATCATTTCCGAGCGATATTTCAAGTAGATCTTGAGCTTTTGCAATGTAATTTTATACCAGAACTCCCTAGAACCTCTCTCACCCCTCTCAAAGTGTCCCGCCCCGTTTGTTGTTCCCCGCTTGAAAAGTGGGGGATATTAATTTGGGTTTGTCCGTCCGTCTTTCTGTCTGTCTGTAACGCTTTCGTTTCCACACGATATCTAGAGAACCCTTTGAGCTTTTGCAATGAATTTTAGCATAGCAACTTCCTATGGACTAAAGAAGACCCCTATTGATTTTGAGGTCAAAAGGTCAAAGGTCAAGGTCATAAATAAGCAAATTCTGTCTGTTATAACACTTTCGTTTCCACACGATATCTCTAGAACCATTTGAGCTATTGCAATGAAATTTTACATAACAACTCCCTGTGGCCTAATGAAGACCCCTATTGATTTTGAGGTCAAAAGGTCAACGTTTAAGGTCGTAAATTTAAACATTCTGTCTGTGTGTAACACTATCATTTCCGGGCGATATTTCTAGAAGATTTTGAGCTTATGCAATATAATTTTATACCAAAACTCCCTAGGACCTCTCTCACCCCTCTCAAAGTGCCCCGCCCCGTTTGTTTTATTAGTATTTATAGTATTACATGTCGCTATTTTTAGCACAGGGGCATGAGGAGAGTTATTGCGTATAAAACAGGTTCTCGGCGGACTTTATGTTCTTATTATATCTTTTAGAACTGTTTAATAAAGGCTAAATAAATCAAACACCAAGGATTGTGTAAAATTTTGAGAATACCGAACATGAATATACACATGTATGTGACTTCAGTTCCGCATATACTCGATACCATATATAGCGATTCCGTGGTCTAGTGGTATTTTTCTCGCTTCACATGTGAGAGATCCCGGGATCAAATCTCGGTCGATCATTGTATTTTTATTTTAAATACTTTTTTTTTTTACTAAATGATAGTGTTCAGCATGTGAAATGAAAAATTTATGAGGTTATAAAATCATTATTACAGCGTGATAAATATTCCATATAAAGAGAATCTTCCATACACATAATAAAGAATAAGCAATCAAATCTTTATATGCATATTGACATACATGTATTTTATTTGCTTCAGTATACTGTAAACCAACTTTTATTCGCGTGCGAGAAATTTTCGCGAAGTTCGCGAGAGCATCGTCATCGCGAATATTTCTCGCCGCGAACCGCTCCTTCATAGTATATTTGTCTATTAAAGGAAGAAGCAAAAAGGCTTGATCGCGAAAATTAATCGTCGCGAACTAATTTATCTCTGTTTAATCGCGAAATAAAGTCGTCGCGAATAAAAGTTGGTTTACAGTACATGTATACATTCAATAATTCTACAAATTCAGTCAGGGTGATCCGACTTTTTCCCTAAGCGGGGGACAAAAATTCTCTGAATTAGCTTGTTTTATTAGTATTTATTGTATTACATGTCGCTATTTTTAGCACAAGGGCATGAGGAGAGTTATTACGTATAAAACAGGTTCTCGCTGGACTTTATATTCTTATTCATTAGAACTGTTTAATAAAGGTTAAATTAAATATCATGCATTGTGTAAAATTTTGACAATATCGAACGTTAATGTATACATGTATGTGACTTCATTATTGCATATAATGTTCGCTATATTAAAGCGGCTCTAGCTGTTGTCTAGTGGTATGACTCTCGCTTCACAACTGAGAGGTCCCGGGATCGAATCTCGGGCGATCTAATCTTTTTGTAATTTAGAAATACTTATTTTTTTACTAAATGATAGTATCCATGTGAAATGAAAAATTTATGAGGTCTGGCTTGTACAAACTCAAAATCATCATTACAGTGTGATAAATATTCCCTATAAAAAAAATCTTCTATACACATAATAAAGAATAAGCAATCAAACCTTTATATCCATATTGGCATATTTTATTTGCTTCAGTATACATTTAATAATTATACAAATTCAGTCAAGGGGATTCGACACCCCACACACCCCCCCCACCCCCGAACTGCGCATGGTTTACTTTTTAGCTCACCTGAGCCGAAGGCTCAAGTGAGCTTTTCTGATCACATTTTGTCCGGCGTCCGTCTGTCTGTCTAGCTGTTCTTACGAGAGGTACATTGTGGGGTAAAATTAACGTATTTTCCAGCAGTGTGGGGTTTTTTGGGTACTGTGGGGTTAACCCCATAATGAAGAGGTCTAATTACGTTCAAAATTACTCTATGAGGTCGAAAAACCTAAAATTAGATTTAACCTCACAAAGACTTTGTCCAAATTTTGGACATGTCCTTAGCCCAAAACGCTCAGACATTCAGAAATCTGCTGTTTAGAGGAGTTCGGTAATTGAATCGAGGAGTTCCGAATACCTGAGCATGCGCATATATTTAAAACTAACTGCGCATGCGCAGAATGCGGAAGTAGCTGTGTTTGGATTAGCAGTGAGGAAATTCGGAAACACAAAAAGCAAATGCAGTAAGTCTTACTATTTTGTTGCACCACATTGAAAAAAAGCTTTGTAAGTTGTTTGATATGATTCATACGTACATTATGCAGTTGTAGAATTTATTTAAAGTCAAGGAAAGGACACTTGTAGTCCACATAAACACATACCGATTGAAAACGGGCTTTTGTGAAAAAAAATATAATGAATGCACTGATAGTTCTTTTTTTAATCAGAGGTCTGCAATGAAAATCGACCGATACCCGGGGGTCGGGCTAGTGGTTTTCTGCAAGAGGGTCGCCCCGTTGGCCAGTAAAAAAAGATAATATTATTTATACACGTGCAATACATGCAAAGCACACCTGGTACGTATTTTCACTCGTTTTTTGCAACAAAAATCCAAACCATTTAAATTTTCCATATAACATGCTCCAACTGTCAATAAATCTCCATAATTTAATCCGTGTTGGAGTACTACTTGGCTTATTTACTTCAAAAAACGATCGTGTTTTTTTCTTAATTCGAATTTTCTCTATATCTATGGTAATTACATGCAGATATCTCATAACATAAATACATGTGATTCTTCCGACGGGAGACAAAATCTCTGGATTTTTCACGCCTCTTCCGCCCCTTCCGATTAATTTTTAAATCATCCGTGTTTAAATTTTTTCAAATTGAATATTTTTGGCTTTAATTTTATCCTGTTTCGTAGTATAATTGCTCTCTCTCTCTCTCTCTCTCTCTCTCAATTCATTCTAGATACGTACCAATTGTTTATCTACTCTTCACACATTTCTTTACATGTTCTTGTAATCGTACCTTAATCTATAGAGAAAAAATCAGAATGGAAAAATGGAATTAATGTCACTGCAATAAATTTTCGCATCAAGTAGGCTTCGTAGGAATCAACATGGGGTTGTATAATTAGGTTGTAAAATTTAGTGGTATATCAATTTGATAAATGACAATCAATGTTTATTATTTAAAATGAGTGTAGGACATTTTAATCAGTTGTTAAAATACCCAATATGTCACATTGCTTACACAGTCGCTTGTGTAATTATGTGCCGGATAAAAAAATTCACCTATTATAGAAATTAGACAAATTACCTTTAGATACGTATATATAACTCTCTTTGTGTTAATGGAAAAAATATAATTGTCCTGTAAGATCAATTTGTACTTATTTTTCAAGATCGACCATTGAAAATTTAAAAGAATTAAATCACAATTAATAGTTTTTCTATATCTAAACTTAAAGAAATTCAAGGTTAAAGCTTTATTTTGTAATTTACAATATTAATTCATCATTACTTTGAAAATTTACAGTGAGAGTATGTAACTTAGCTAATACAGGTCTATCAGTATTTTCACACCTGTTAGATTTTGATTCCGTGTAGAAGCTCTAATTGCAACTCTTGTCAAAACAAATGATTTGTATAGCATGATTATCTCGTGAATTTCACCATCAGGAGACGATCGATAGGGATTAGTTACGCTCTGCTGCACTTGACACCTGTGTTGTAGTAGAATGATTTTAAACTGCGTTAATACAAATCTTTGGTCAATTGAATAATTTTTTGTGTGTGTCTGTATGTTAGATAGAAATTCCGACAGCTTTATAAAAATAATATTAAAAATTTACCAGACTTTAAAAACTTCAGCAAAGTAGTTGATCGAGGATTAATTGAAAGGGGGGGGGGGGTTACACTGCTGATCATTACCTGAACATATTAAAGTGAAGTTTTTAAATAAATTTTATTGACACTTACTGAAATAAATTTTTATACTTTATTTAATTTAATTAAAGCTTTTATATTTTTTATTATTAAAAAAATAGATAGTAGTAAGGCACATGTATTTCTTCTTGAATGATTTGAATGTTACAAAAGAACACTCAGAGTTCCCGAAACTAGTCAAAAATATGTCGGACAATTGTCTTGTAAATATTTAAAATTCACCGGACAGTTGTAAAATTTACTGGACATTAATTTTTTGTATGTAAATTTAACATATTATAGGATTGGAAATTGTAACGATATAATAAATGATATGTGTAAATAAAAAGATGGCAGATTTAAAAAAAAAAAATTATTGAAATATTTTGTATAAGGCCTGTGTATGCAGGATTTGACGTCGCCGAAGGCGTGTGATGACCAACGCTTAATTCATCGTATAAATTTATTATGTCCTTTCTGACAGATTTTTAAAATGTTTTTAAAAATAAAATCTGCAACATGACAACTCTTGGTTGATTGTTTGGAAAATATGTTGTTTTCCAGGCTTATTTCTTTTGGATTTTTGTATTTTATGTGCCAGGAAAAATATTACGTAAAATATCAAACTCGTTTTAAAAAGCCTGGTAAAACGCCCGATATTTCTGACTAGTTAAAATTTATTATACAACCTCCACACAGTTAAAAATATGTACTAATGATATAAAGATATGCAAATTTATCATGAAAATGATGATTTTAAGTGAATTTGTTGTCGTTTTACTACATTCAAGTCAATCCGCTATTTTTAGAAAAGGGGAAAAACGCGCTTGTATTTTAAATGCTATCAAATACATTAAAAAAAATCCAGAAGTTGGTATAATATTATCATGCTAATAGATTAAATTATAGAGAAAATAATAAATGGTAACAAATTGTCTGTAATCAAGCAGATTGTGAATAGCAGGCACTCTTGCAACCCTGCAAATTCGTCCTTCAAAACGAAAGTAGATTGTCACATTTTTTTTTACTGTCAGAACTACAGAGTGCATATATTTATCAGGGAAAATATTTGTTGACAGTGTTTTTAAAGCTGTTTTTCCTCCCAGACTTATGGAAATTATTATTTTAATATGTAGCTTTTTATAGTAGACAATCAACGTCTACATTTTATTTAAACAAGATCTGGCGATGCCCTGACGTTTTTTTTTTTTTTTTTTTAATTACTTTAGTTTTTCATTTGTTTATTGTAAGGACAATTGAATTAAATGATTTTGTTAAGATTATATGGAAAGGTTATACAGTCTGTAAAAAAAAAAAAAAAAAACCATCGGACATTTTGACCAATAAAATTAAGATTTTACTGGTCCCATTCAAAGTTCACCGGGGATCCCCGGTGGACCGGTGCGTTTCTGGAACTCTGAACACTTATGAACTGTTTTGTAGGAACAGAAAAATGCACAAAACCTTAAAAATTTAATTTGGAATTCTTTAATTTCATATTTTTTTTAAATAGGCATGGATTAATATATGTATACACACATACAAAGGTTTTGTGAAATTGACATGTTTAATTAAATCAACTGTAGTGGTTATTGCTGTTTATTTATTGACTGACTGGCTACTTCTTGGGCAAACTGGAATAAGAGGTCACCTGTGTTAAGTGGCTAGTTTCTGGACTTCCCAAAGCTTAAAACAAGTTTGACTGTACTTTTTCACCTTTTACCAATATAAGAAAGTAGTTCACAGTACATGACAACTATGCTTTAAATAAATTTCGATGAATTTTAATTTAATAGTAACTCGGAATTTTTGTATGTGATATAAATAAACATTTGCTTCTTTATTCCTTTGTAGAGTTCAGATACTGAAAGTGAACATAAGTGGAACTTTGATGATCTAGGCCGCTCTATTTTTGCAGCAACACCAGCAGGCGTCGGACATTCATAAAGTTGAAAGAACAAACCTATGACTTGAACACACAATTTGTGATCTGAATATAGTTCACAAATTTAAGGAAAGCAACTATCAAAGACATTCAGATTGATGGTTAGTACATGTTATAAGTGCCCATAAAATCAAGACAACAATATTATTTTACAATAAATTAAAACATAACCTGTCAGGGGCTGACAAATGGATTTTTAAGGCACTTGCCCAAAGGCAAGTACATGGTCAAAATTCACTTGCCCTACCTGAATTTTTGCCTGCCCTACCATTAAATTATACTGTTATTAAAAATTTATATATAAAAAATACTGAGTAGAACATTGGCATAGATATTGATTTTAGTTTTGATAATTGATTAAGTCACTTGCCCACGGGCAAGTGGTTGATAAAATTTCACTTGCCCAACCCTAAAATTCACTAGCCCCGGGCGTCAGGCAATGGGATTTGTCATCCCCTGCCTGTAAAAAAAAAAATTGAACATTATCATTTAGAAATATATTTTACTGTATTTTTTTTTGACAGGTATGAATGAAAGACTTTTCAGAAGAACAAGCACAATCCGGGTTCATTCTTGCCATTGTCTTCTCCAGACGGCGACATTTAGGACCTGACTTACTTTTCAGAAAAAGAAGATGAATCGATTTTTGATAGTGGATCTTAAAAAGATAACATTTTCAGGGGTCGTGGATTGAATGACATTTTCTTGATGGGCAACTTGTTTCAAGTATTTGGATGTCTATTCTCAAGTTACTGCAAACCTTAAATTAACTTCTTGATTATTAGTTAAATGTGAGACCGTTTCTTACTTGAAGTAATCATTTTTTGAATTGAGCTATGTAATCTCTGATTACTTATGTTTATGAGTAGTGTTCAGCTTTAAGACAAAAGGATCTTTTATGAACACTGCATTCGTCATGGTGAATTTCTATACATTAAGAAACAGTCATAGTTTTCGTCTTTTTTAATTAGCGATCTCATTTTAAATGTGAGAAATAATTATGAAACTGAAATGTACATTTATGTTGTTTGATTTTTATTTTTTTGAAAATTGTTAATCAATTGCCTGTTGTTGTTTTTTTTTTCATTTTATTTTAGGGGATGGGAGTGGGGGTGCAGCTGTAAGTTTGAGTATATTTTCCAAAAGGATGTACATCGTTATTTTTGTTTTAATATCAATTTTAAAATGCAAAATGATGAGATATTAGACTACACATTTTTTCTTAAAACTTCATTTAAATTAATATATTTTGTTTAACACTGTTTAAAATAAGTAGCAACAACATGCAAGTTTTACAGTTATTTGACAACTCACTATATACTTGTTTTTTACATTTATGAAGATTGTCTCAAATTTTGAGGGTTTTTTTCTGTGTTCTACATTTATTGACATGTTTCTTATCTGTGTTCATCTTGTCGAGTAACTGAAAAGTTTGATTAAATCTTTTTTTAAAAAATCAGGGTAATCTCTTTTATTTATTATTATTAATTTACAATGAAATTATGTATGCTTTTGATGCATAATGTACACTTCAAATTCATGCACCAGCAGATTCAAAGGAAAAATTCCCATTAGAAAAAACAGTTCAGATAAAGAGATTATCCAATTAAAAAGTAGTTTGAAAAATATTTAAAACAAATTTTCAAGTATGTTATCAAAATAGGAAAAAGTATTATGAGTATAGTTTGGTATTTTTAATAGTAAAAAAAAAAAGGATATGACGTACTGGCAATTGTATCATCTCACTCAGGGTCTTTCCGTCAGAGTTCGGAAAAACAACCTCAAATGTATTAACATCACCTGATGTTAAAGGTTATGTTTTTCTTGTTTTTCAAATTTTCGATAGAGGAAGTAAGAAGTCCCTTTTATAGTAAGTTTTATGTAATATCATAGCATTGAATAAAATTAAACTCCATATTCCACAGATAAAAGGTCTTCATGCATTTATTTCGAAGATCATGAAAAGGGGGGGGGGGGGTTGTTGCCATGGCGTCTAACTAATACATTCGAGATCATTTGTCAGCTAGTCAGAAAGGCTCGAGAAGTTGCGATTGAACATAGTGGGGGTTTTTGTTCTTTTATTACCAGTCCCTGGTAGAGTTTTTTTGATATTAGAACATACTGGGGTTTTCAAACACTTAAATTCATATGGTTACTGGTATCTGTTACATGAGAATACAGCGGGGTTGTTTGTTTAACACTCTGAGGTTACTAAGATGTCTAATATTTTCTATCAGAACATATTGTGGTTCTTGTCTAACACTTTGTGGGGTTAATGTTATCTTTTATCTATATAAGAACATAATGGGGTTGTTACACATTATGGGGTTAGTATTGTCTATTATCTTTATAAGAGTACTTAGTTGGGTTGTTGTCCTAACACTTTATGGGGTTAGTGTTGTCTATTATCTTTATGAGAGTACATAGTGGGGTTGCTGTCCAAACACTTTATGGGGTTAGTGTTGTCTTTTATCTTTATAACAGTACATAGTGGGATTGCTGACCAAACACTTTATGGGGTTAGTGTTGTCTATTATCTTTATGAAAGTACATAGTGGGGTTGCTGTCCAAACACTTTATGGGGTTTGTGTTGTCTATTATCTTTATGAAAGTACATAGTGGGGTTGCTGTCCAAACACTTTATGGGGTTAGTGTTGTCTATTATCTTTATAAAAATACATAGTGGGGTTGCTGTCCAAACACTTTATGGGGTTAGTGTTGTCTATTATCTTTATGAAAGTACATAGTGGGGTTGCTGTCCAAACACTTTATGGGGTTAGTGTTGTCTATTATCTTTATGAGAGTACATAGTGGGGTTGTTGTCCAAACACTTTATGGGGTTAGTGTTGTCTTTTATCTTTATAAAAATACATAGTGGGGTTGCTGTCCAAACACTTTATGGGGTTAGTGTTGTCTATTATCTTTATGAAAGTACATAGTGGGGTTGCTGTCCAAACACTTTATGGGGTTAGTGTTGTCTATTATCTTTATGAAAGTACATAGTGGGGTTGTTGTCCAAACACTTTATGGGGTTAGTGTTGTCTTTTATCTTTATGAGTGTACATAGTGGGGTTGCTGTCCAAACACTTTATGGGGTTAGTGTTGTCTATTATTTTTATGATAGTACATAGTGGGGTTGCTGTCCAAACACTTTATGGGGTTAGTGTTGTCTATTATCTTTATGCGAGTACATAGTGGGGTTGTTGTCCAAACACATTATGGGGTTATTGTTGTCTATTATCTTTATGATAGTACATAGTGGGGTTGCTGTCCAAACACTTTATGGGGTTAGTGTTGTCTATTATCTTTATGAGAGTACATAGTGGGGTTGCTGTCCAAACACTTTATGGGGTTAGTGTTGTCTATTATCTTTATGAGAGTACATAGTGGGGTTGCTGTCCAAACACTTTATGGGGTTAGTGTTGTCTATTATCTTTATAAGAATACATAGTGGGGTTGTTGTCCAAACACTTAATGGGGTTAGTGTTGTCTATTATCTTTATAAGAGTACACACTGGGGTTGTTTGTCTTATAATTTATGGGGTTAGTGTTGTCTGTTATTTCTATATAGCATAGTGGGGTTGTTTGTTTAACACTCTCTGGAATATTCTTGTCTATCATCTTTATGTGAAAACATGATGGGTTAATTATGTTCCCCAAACGAAGTTGGGGAACATATTGTTTTTACTCTGTTTCTTATTATGTTCCCCAAACGGAGTTTGGGAACATATTGTTTTTACTCGGTTTCTTATTATTATTATTATTATTATTATTATTATTCTTTTTTTTCTTCTTTGTTCTCCGGTACTTTTTTGTCCGCTAGTGTTCTCAGAAACTGTTCACCCAACTAAGCTAAAACCTTTTTAGGGTTAATAGGTGTGTAGTGTAGGTGTGCGGAACGAAGATCATTTTGCGCGCATACGCATGCACATGCGGGCGCGTGATATGAGTGAAATGACTGATATACTTAATATAGCTATAACTTTTACATTTTTTAATGAAATGATTTGAAACTCATTATATAAAGATATAATAATAGTGTAGATAATATGACACTGTCAAATTAGCAAGAACTCACGCGCATGCACGTGCGCTTGCTCTGATTGGCTGAAACAAAAATCTCAATATCTTTTCTGTTTTTTGACGGAATGGTATGAAATTTAAAATATAGGCATACTTTAGGATGTTCTACAATATAATATATAACAATTGTGTTGAAAACACGTGCATGCACGTGCGCTGCAATCTGATTGGCTTAAACTTTAAATGGCTATAACTCCCTTGTTTTTCAACCAAACAGGATGGGATTTAGAAAATAGACAGATATAATAGACTTCTACAAGAAGGTATGGTCATCATGCACATACATGAACGTACGTGCACGTGCGCTTCGTTCTGATTGGCTGAAACAAATATCTCAATATCTTTCCTGTTTTTTGACGAAATGCTATGAAATCTAAAATATATACATACTGTAGGATGTACTACAATATGATATATAACAATTGTCATGAAATCACGCGCATGCACGTGCGCTGCAACCTTATTGGCTAAAACTGTAAATGGCTATAACTCCCTTGTTTTTCAACCAAACAGTATGGGATTTAGAACATAGACAGACATAATAAACTTCTACAGGAAGGTATAGTCCTCATGCACGTGAAATGAGTAATATTAAAAATACGCTTAAATGAGTGTATTTTTTAATACTTCTGGATTAATTGATTTAAAAGTATATTAAAATATATAAATAATGTAGACAAGATGATAATGTCATTACGCACATGCATTCAGATAAGCACGCGTGCAATGCTAAAATTTAAATATATTTTGTATTCTTCGGGGAAAAAGTGTGTCTTATTTAATAGCGCTTACAGGTAATATGGAACCAAAAGGGTGTAGGGGAGCGTTTGGGGAACATCTGTAACGGTCCCCGTTACAATTAGCCCTAGTTATTATTTTTTTTCTTATTTGTTCTCCGGTACTTTTTTGTCCGCGAGTGTTCTCAGAAACTGTTCACCCAACTGACCTAAAACCTTTTTAGGGTTAATAGGTGTGTAGTGTAGGTGTGCGGAACGAAGGTCATTTTGCGCGCATACGCCTGCACGTGCGTGCGCGTGAAATGAGTGAATTGACTGATATACTTAAAATAGCTATAACTTTTACATTTTTTGATGAAATGCTTTGAAACTCATAACATAAGGATATATTAATAGTGTTAATAATATGACACTGTCAAATTAGCACGAACTCACGCGCATGCACGTGCGCCTTGCTCTGATTGGCTGAAACAAAAATCTCAATATCTCTTTTGTTTTCCGACGAAATGCTTTGAAATTTTTAA